CCCTAAAGGCTAACACTCGCTTTAGTTCTTAAACACTAAGATCAAATTGAAGATTTTAGTCTGTCACCCTAAAATCTCCAATTCTACATCCAATAAAGTATATTTCCCTATTTATTTGCACCTAATTCCATGAACGAAACACTCCTCCATGGAATTAAATGTGATTCTCACTCTGTTGTAGAACTAATACTCTATTTCCCAGATCATTTGTTTCACAACAGATTTTAACATTTCAATTGGCCAGATCGAAAAGTAAATTAAGAATGGAGTGAAAAAATCATCACAATTTATTTTATATTTTAAAATGACACATCCAAATTATCTCTTTATTTCACCATATCTCAGAGTAGGGAGAAATATAAAAAAAATACTCAAAACTCATGAGAAAGATACGACAACACACAGATTATATATATAAAAAGAAGTTTACAAAATAAAGATGAAAGAACACAACTTATCTTAGACTCATCAAGAAAATCCCTAAAAGTTCCCTTCTAGCACTTTCTCTTTTTACAATCAACACTAAATTCTCTCTTAGAAGTGTAATGAAGAAGAAATCTTTCACCTACCTTCTCCTCGTACAATTCTTCAAGAAAATCCTCTCCACACATAAGAATTTATATAAGAATTTACTCTACAATACACACACACACCCATGCACACACGCACACATACACACACACCTACACACCCCATGAGAGGCGTCAAGCCCTCTTTTTTAAAAAGACAAATTCCCTCCTTTTTCCCAAAAGACAAATCTATTCATCCAAAAGACATGTCTCTTCATTCAAGAGCCTTCTCTAAGTGTCTAGATGCATTAAATCACTTCATGGGGTATTTAGATCACTTGCAAGCCTTATATAACATCAAAATCCTCCAAAAATTGGTCCATAACCGTCCCGGGTGCTGTCGGCGTCTGTTTGGGCGTCGTCGGCGCCACTTTTTGTTGCTTCTATGGACTTGGGCGCCGTTGGCGCCTGTTTTGGCACCTTTGGCGTCGGTCTGCATCAGCTTCGTTGTTTCACTACGTTTGGTTCTGTTTTATCTCCGTTTCGCCCCATTTCAGTTGCATTTCGTTCATAACAAATAGACCTACAAAATAAGCATGAAAACAACCTTTCGTTAAACTGTAATTTCATTCAAAAATGTGTGAGAAGTGTAAATGACATTAGACTTAGAAAGTATATCGAAATATGCAAGGACAGAATTATCTTTCTTGTTTGTTTTTGCTCCAAATTGCACCGTTTTTGTTTCTTTTTTCTCCAAAACTTCCTTTATTGTCCCTGAAACCAAAAATATGTAAAATATCTTCCTTTAAAGTGTAATATCATATGAAAAAGTTGTCATTTTTAGGCGTATCAAATCCCCCAAATTTAACTATTACTTGTCCTCAAGTAACACATTTACTACATAAAAGTTATGACTAATGGTAGAGAGTTTAACTTCTAGATTTCTATAATTTGGTCTACTAAATATAATAACACAACTTAAGAAAAATTTTTAACAACTTAAGTCAAAACTAAAGTTATAAGAACATCTAGTAGTCAAGTCTAAGATTTATGATTCTCTATTCATTTCAAGAAGAATTGCAATTTCTCATATTAAAGTCACTTAGAATATCCATATGAAAAAGAATTTCACAAGAACTTTATTAGTAAGGATACTAATACTCGAATACAATTTAAAAAAATGTAATAAAGCCTTCTTCCTCAAGTTGATTCAAGTGAAGCCAATTTTTGATTAGGCATCTTCTCAAGCTTTTTCTCACATACTTTTCTTTTATTTTTCTTTTTTTTCTTTTAGGATCATTTTTAATCATTTTTTTTCTTTTTTTTTTCTTTTTCACGTGAGGATTACTATATCTGGATATCTTTTAATAATTTTGAACTTCACTATCCTCTTCTTAAAGTTAAAAACTTTTCACATTTCTTTACTTTGTAAATTCATATTAGCTTTGAAGATTTTTCATAAAGCCTCATTCTTTTCTTCTTACGTGAAACTCTAAGATTCTTAATATTTTAAAAATACAATTTCCTTTACTTTTAATAAAAAAAGCATAGTTTTATTCTTTCGTACCAATTATCTTAACTCTAGAATCAACTTTGATTATTGAAAGCCTTTACTTAAGTCTACCATATATTTAGCAACACATATATAGTTATCAAAATTTAGCC